GCTGCTGGGGTTGGTGTGACCCAAGGGCAGGATGCGGCCCTTGGCCTTGTTGACCCTCACACAGTTGGCCTCGGGCCATGGATGCAGCCTGCCCAGACCCCTCTGCAGAGCCTTCCTGCCCTCGAGCAGATCGACGCTCCTGCCCAGCGTGGTGTCCCCTGCAGACTGACCGAGGGAGCACGCGATCCCCTCACCCAGATCACTGAAAGAGCCTGGCAGGAGGTGAGTGTGGGGCAGGTGCTGTCCTTGGCGTCCTCCTGCCTTCCCCCGCTCACAGAGGCTGCCGGGCTGGCCTCCAAAGCAGAGGAAGAAGTCACCTTGACGTCCCTGGAGACAGATTTATGCTGACTGTTTCCAGAGAGGAGCTGCGCTGTCGCTGAGTAAGCGGAATTTCGCCTGCCCAGCCCCACCTGCGGCACGGAGCCGAGGAGGAAGCGGACCCAGATACGGGTGTCTGTGACCAGCAGCACCCTGAACCCCACCCAAGAGCATCCTGTCCCCCGTGGCCAAGCTGACCCGGGGAGCAGGGGCTCTCCCTGCGCCAGCGAGAAGGGCGAGGTGTGACAGTAGCACCCAGGGCTCTGCACCCCCCCGCCAGCATTCATCGTGGGCACAGTGACGGGGGATTTTGTAGCAAGAGCAAAACTGCTCGTTTCTGAGGTGTTGCAGAAAAGTTCTCCGGGTTTAACAGATGAAGCCCCTGCGGGGTGCAGAGCTGTGAATCCCCGACAGAGATCCTGACGCCGCCGATAATCCCAGACCCCTCTGGCTCCGTTTGTGACAGGTTTTAGCTGCAGATGCTGACGAGGCTGTCGCCTCCGGCCCTCCCTTTTCTGAACGCTGCCCTGGAGGCAGGGCTGGCTGCGCTGCGGCGTTATCCCTGCCTGCTGCAGTTGGCTGCTGGGCTTCCTGATGAGCCGAACCGCAGCGTTGGAGCGACCTGGAAACCTCCCCTCTGCGAATAACCCAGGGGAGAAGTGGTGCCGTGGGGCAGGACGCACCGTAACGCCTCGGGGATCCGTCGAGCTGCCAGAGCTGCGCCTTGACCGCAGGATGGTAGAAACGCCAAGTGCTTTGGGGTTGGAAGGGCCCTTCAGAGGTCATCTAGCCCA